CTGTTTTTTTCCCCTATATTTCTATTTCTACTCTTTAGACTCATTTTTTTCATTTTTCAATTCATATCTTTCGTTTTTTTCTTAGATTATTATCACCATCATTACTCTTGCTTCTCTTTTCTGCAAATCATTCTTCACCGCTTTCATTCTTCTTATTCTTAATCTCCATTCTTTCTCTTCTTCTTTGCCACTTCCCTCCCTCTCTCTCTCTCTCTCTCTCTCTCTCTCTCTCTCTCTCTCTCTCTCTCTCTCTCTCTCTCTCTCTCTCTCTCTCTCTCTCTCTCTCTCTCTCTCTACATATATATATATATATATATATATATATATATATATATATATATATATATATATATGTATGTATACATATACACACACACACACACACACACACACACACACACACACACACACACACACATATATGTATACATATATATATATATATATATATATATATATATATATATATATATATATATATATATTTATATATATATATATGTATGTTTCTATGTATGTATGTATATATATATATGTATGTGTGTGTGTGTGTGTGTGTGTGTGTGTGTGTGTGTGTGTGTATGCATGTATTTTCTTCTATATTTTTCCTATCTATTTCACCTATGTTTGCTGTTAAAGAATTGATTATGCAATTTTATCTAATCCATCACAGATTGTAAGATAACTAAAAGACCACTGAATCAACAATATCCCTCGATTTATTTATCACAGTTAATCTAATACCGCATTTCTTCCCTTAAAACACACATACACACATATACGAAAGTGTGTGTCTGTCCGTTTGTCTGTCTGTATGTCTGTCTCTTTCTGTCCACGTCTTTGTCTCTGTCTCTGTCTCTCCCTCTCCCTCTCCCTCTCTCTCTCTCTCTCTCTCTCTCTCTCTCTCTCTCTCTCTCTCTCTCTCTCTCTCTCTCTCTCGTTTTCTGCCTGCGTGGCCGACAACGCACAGTTGCATGTTCGAAATGACACGTGAGAGACCGAGTTAGAACACACCTCAACTCCCTTTACGTATAAAGTAATTCAAACACACACATAAAAACAACAAAAACAAAAAGACGCACAAATACACAAAAAAAAAACATACGCACAAAAACAGACAAAAGAATCACACACACACACACACACACACACACACACACACACACACACACACACACACACACACACACACACACACACACACACATTCTCTCATTACTCGCCTGAAATGACATATACTTGTACTGTATATGCATGTCCAAATTTGTATAATGCCAGTTACATAAAAACGTATCGAATACATCCCTTTCAGTGTAAACTATCCACACCTGTGAGAGGAATACCTACACAACCCACAGCTCGAAGATGTTTTCATACGACATGTGTACCATGATTGCATACAAGTGTTCACATGCCAACGCAGCTTCTTGAATGTGAAATAGGATAGTTATTCGTCATCATCCATTCTACATATAGGAGACAAACACGCACGCACAAGCACGTATGCACGCACGCAAGCATGCACGCACACACACACACACACACACATGTACACGCACACGCACGCACACGCACACACACGCACACACACGCACACGCACGCACACGCACACACACACACACACACACACACACACACACACACACACACACACACACACACACACACACACACACAGATACGCTGTAAAAGTACACGTGTACACTGCAAACTTTCTAGATTTTCGCCGACAGAGGCATGACTGGTCAGCGTTTTCCTTCTCGGAGCCTGTGTTAATAATAACTATAACTATAGCGATATTTTATGCCATAACCCTGACGGAAACATATTAAATATAAACTGAATAATTATAGTGTTGTGGAGAAAAGCAGTCTTATCAGATACGTAACTGATACTTCTAACCAATGTCACGATAATCGACCAGTTACTTAATCCAGTACTACCATACCTTATTAGAACAATGTACCTTTGATAATACTTAAGAAAATAATGTTTAAGTAGCAGACTGATATTAATAGGTCAGGGTCAGGCGCGTCCGAGGGAGAGAGAGGGAGAAGCGATACATTACATAATGACATACTATAGATCCCTATTTAAAGAATCATGACATTACAATCCTTTATTTCAGCTTTATGAATATTTCTTTGTGTTCTGTGACCAAGAAAGAACAGCCAATAAGGCGAAAAAAATGCTTTAAAAAAGGCCAAATTTCCCTGGCAGTGCTGAGCATCATGGGAAATCTGCCACATGTCTCGGTCTCGCTGGTACCTCATATGGCAACATTACCCAAACTCCCCATTAAATATCGCAATAAATACCCAACCTATCCCACCCAAAACCTACCAACGAGCAAAAAAATCAATAAAAAAATAATCCTAAGTAATAAAACACAAACAAATACTTCCCCTACACCCTAAACAAATAACCCCAAATCAAACAACCGAGCGAACATAGCAACTTCCGAAGCAACTCCGCGCATGTGCACTGACATCATCGTGACGTCACTTCCGCCACACAGCTGATGAAGATGGCTCGGTGATGATGGTGTTTTCCTCGGATTTTCTCTCCCCGTGACGCCCGACAGGAGTTTTGAGCGACGAGACACCTTCCTCAGGGGGATTTTGAAGGAGAGGAGGTAAGGAAGAGGGAGAAAAGTAGGATCTTCGGGGGAAAAAAGGGAAGGAAATGAGAGGTTTGTTTTTCGAGGAGGAGTTGTAGGTGAGAGGGATTTTTTTCAACTATTTTTTTCTCCATTATTTTAAGGGTCTTTTTGGGTATTTAATTCGGGTTTTGGCGAAGGGAGAGGGTGAAATGAAGAGAGGAAAGTCTGGGAAATGAGTTGGAATGAGAAAAATGGGAGAGAAAGGGGGGAAAATGTCGAGAAATATGGGGAGGGTGAATGACGAGTGATTTCGGGGCCGAATGTGACACTTCTTTGATTAAACTCGAAGCCGATTAAATCGCTTTTATTATTTTTTTCTCTCTCTATCACGTGTCCCTTTTATTCGATAATGTAATGGAATCAACGAAGCTATTATCTTGGAGTTCAGGTTATGGTTATAGTTTATAGTGATTTATTGGTGTTATTTGTCATGTCTTTGTTTATTTTCTTTATAGGTGCTTCTTTTAGTAAGGTTTTCTTCATTTTATGGTCTGTCAGATATTTGGGCATTGCATTAGAGCAAAATTGATACATGTTTCTGTCACAATAACTGAATAAATTCTTACCCTAAACCCAGTCATTAATTTTGGTCATTGCTTAGGATATAGTCTTCATTTCGCACAGCCAATCTTGCAATTAATATTCCTTCTTTCGGACAATATGTAGTATAAGGTAGTGGCAGAGTTGAGTAATAAAACCTACATGAAATCATAGAACAATACAAACCAAGACAAAGTTCTTCTATGGCAATATGTGTGTAAATGCTTCCCAAGGGTGCTTTACGTAAAAGAAAAGAGATGATCCCCAATTTTGCCAAAGTCGTTCATCTTGTTTACATTACGAGGGTAAATTCTAGACACATATACAACCACGGGGGTCCAGTCTAGGCATATATATTACTGCAGGGGCCCAGGGGGCAGAGCCCCCTGGCTAGGGAATATATACCACGGTGTTAGGTTAGATTGGATGTTGGGTTAGGACGTTTTGTTTAACAACCACAGGGGTCCTGTTTTACCCCATAATTTCTCTGTTATACTTCATGCCTTCCCCTGCTATCGGGACTATCAAATCAAGATTGTCGATGGAGATGGTGATCATATTTCCTCAACAATTCATTTGCACAAGGAACAATGTGAAGAATCGTTGAAAGCAGTGGATTTCATGCAGAAAAATATCAAAATTGTTTCGAAAGTAACCCACTACCCTCGTCTACATATTGACAGCTCGGGGATCTCTTTTCTTTTATGTATAGCAGTCTTGGGAAGCATTTGCACACACATTGCCATAGAAGAACTTTGTCTTGGTTTGTATCGCTCTATCATTTCATGTAGGTTTTATTACCCAACTCTCTCATTACCCTATGCTACATTTTGACCCTTCTTTCAATTATCATCTCTGTGTGATTTTCTTGTTATCCATTGCAAACGATATAAATCAAAATATTGGTAATGTTTAAAAACCTTATCCCTATGAGATCAAGTCCCTACTACACCAGCCACCCCAGAGAACTGCATAAACATCACCGTAAAAAACAAAAACCTGCCTAATGCAAGGGCCTCGCCACCAGACCCTCATCCGATCGCCATATTTCCATATTGGACTTACTCTCCATGCGGCATTTAGTGCGACCTATTTTCTTAATCTTTCATGCTGATTATTTCATGATTTAGTCTATGTAGTTTTACTCTTTTATAGTGCCATTACATTTTCCTGTAAATCGTGTGTTGCACAACTTTCTTACTAGCAACCATAGATGAAAAGTAGAATATTTTCAGTTATTCTGTCTCATCCATGCAAATTTTAGTTTTTGCTACATTGCTGGGGGAAACTGAAACTATATCTGAAGATTTAGTGTTTGGAAGGTACAGGCTTGTTTTAACAAAACCCACATTTGCTGTGATCTCTATTTGTTTTCTAGTCAAAAAATTGAGTCACCTTCACATGTGTATATTCTGTCAAGGTAATTCATGGACTATTTCTATATTTCATTAAGACTTTTGCAGTTGAGATTGATTTGTTGTGGAAAAAAAAGGAAAATAAGTGATTTTATGATTACTTGCCTGGGACACTGTTGCACCTCTTTGTTTAATAGCATAAAACAAAGGTATGTACCTCCTGGATGCATTGCAGGGTACTGTGAACATAAGTTTTATAAGCAATTGCAGGCTTCTTTTCGGCATATGTTGATTATCTTTTTATAGTTGTTGTTTTGGGTGTTAACCCATTGCCACCGGGATTGGCATGTACGCACATGCCATGCCCACTGTGAGTCGACTTGTCCGATTGTTTTTACACATAGATGGCTACACTTGTACTAAGTATCCAATGAGCCAATTACGAGTACTGCCTGTCTCACCCGTTCACCCTTTTCATCAATTTACGAAAATATTGAACGTTTTCCTAATTTGCTGTTAAAAATAACACCATCTATATTTATAGCACTAGTAAGAATACGTTTTTTCCTGCCAATTCAAGGAAAGGTGAAATCAGGACTAGCAGAGCCGTCTATGGACAGAGATATTTCACAAAAATATAAAAAATGAGTACATTATTTTCCCCATTTTTTGTTCATTTTCCCCGGCGGCAATGGGTTAATCCCTTCCTGACGGGTGACACCGATAGGCGTGAAAACAAACTGCTGGAAAGCTGGCGCGCGGCGGCGGCGGCGCGCCAAAGCACGATGAGCCAGTGATTTGGGCTGATGTACCGAACTCACGTGCTCAAAGTTGGCGTGCCGCCAATGTTTGCCAGAGCGTAGAGTTTTTTTTTTTTTTTCACGTCACCATTGGGTTAAAAGGTCATTACCTTATTTATCTCTGATTCAATGCATCCAAGATGTACTAATTGGTCTTTTCATATAAGGGTAGTTTTACTTGGGTATTGTCTGTAGACAAACAATACATATAGGAATTGTTTTATAGAGTATTTTCTTTGGTATAATTTCCGTTTCCTACAGCCATGTAGTTCAAGGAAAACTTTTCATCAATGATGTTACTTTTGCAAGCTAACCCATTTATGGATTTATGTTCTGTTCCCTGTAGTTTTTGGTGGATTCTGTTACATACAGATGGCTCCATATATGCTAAGCTGGCAAGGAGTCTATCAGTAAGCCCTAGCTACCGATCATAATTTTCCTATTCTTTGAGTTGGTGGGAAAATGTCTTTCTTATTTATACCATTGCTATCGATGTTATGATTATCAAATTGTCATTAAAATATTTTAGACAATGAAATGATACAAAAGACCCTTTCCTAAAGTGAAGGAAATGGGTAAACAGATGAGATAGGTAGTTCTGTTAAACTGGCTATTTGGTGATTAAGAACTTGTAGAGCCATCTATGTGTAAATACAATAAATAAACGTGTATTATAGTGGGCATGGCATGTAATCTTGTCACATGAGGCGAATGGGTTAAGAAAATTGTGCAACACATCTTACTTCACCCCTTCCTGACGGGTCACACTGTGAGGCTTCAAAACAAACCACTCGATCTGTGGCGTGCGCCTGTACACGGCGGTGGTTCACCAAAGCGCTACGAGCCGGTGATTCGGCTTGATGTACCGAACTCCCATGCTCAAATTCGGCACGTTGCCATTGATCTCCGGAGCATAGTTGTATTTTTCTTCACCCGTTATTAAGGGGCTAAAAACTATATTTACCAATACATAGATTAATCTGTCTTGGCAAAAAAATATTAGAAATGACAAATGATGCATGGAGAGTAAGTCCTCAACTCATCGTCACAAAGTTTTTCAACAATATAAATTGCTATGACTGGGAGTTTGAGAAGACTTTGTTTGCATCATGTTATGCACAGTAAAATGGAATTGAAACTGGAGCACTGAATGGTTTTAAGCTATGAGCTGTGCATTCTCTGATCGTTTTCCTTTATTTGTTGTGTAGCTGTTTGTGTCTCCAAATAATTTCTTGTACAGGCAGTTTCAACCTTCTTATGAAAGAATCTCATCCCCAGTTTGCCTAACTTTAGTATGTCCATATTGCAAAGATTAACCCATTGGATTGTAAATATCTGACTTGCATAATTAGGGGGAGAAAAACCATACCTTCTCTTCTGTACCAAGTACAAGTAAATAATACATCTTTCTTTGACTTTAGCCATCTCAGGAAGTAGGGTTTGCTAAATAGTGTAGAAGGAAGGGTTCATATGGTAGAAAATCTGCTAGTTTGTGTAATGGATAAGTTTTACAAACAAACTAGTGCTGGCTTTCATTGCAGGACACTTTTGTTTCAATTATGGGCACTGTTTTCAATAGAAATTCTCTTAAAACTTGTAATCTATAATGAATAGCCAACAATTATAAGGCCAGGCCTTTAGTGGTGTTGAGTTATTCATGTGTCATCCATGCCTTCAATGGATTGCTTCAGCAAAGGCTAATAAACCTCCACCACATACATTCTGATAGAATAGAACTTTGGTTCTTTTATGGTATGAAATCTGCAGTCAAGCCTGATTATAGATCATAAAAGATTGTTGATCTGGATGGTACCTAGTTTGGCTAATGACAATGTGTTTTTCTTTTATTCCTTGATAATGAAATGTTATGTTAAACTAAATTTGATTATTGAGAGATTATAAAGTGCAATCTTTAATGTAAAAGTTACTCAAGAGGCCAAGAAAGTGACGTCATGCAAAGTGAAATTCTGGAGACCTGCATTCCTAGAAATTGTTATTACTCTATTGTGTTATTCTTCTGCAGAGGATGACATGTATGTAGTACTGAGCAGTTGAATTACATTTAGGTAAAAGTGTCTCGTAAATGCTTAGTTGTGTCATGATCTTATTGTAAGAATGTCAAGTTGCTAGGTAACAGATTTGTTTGACAGTGGATTATGTGATGAAAGCAGAAAGGACTTTTTGAATGAAGATTTAATTACTTATTTTCTCACTCACTCACTCACTCACTCACTCACTCACTCACTCACTCACTCACTCACTCACTCACTCACTCACTCACTCACTCACTCTCTCACTCTCTCACTCTCTCACTCTCTCACTCTCTCACTCTCTCACTCTCTCACTCTCTCACTCTCTCTCTCTCTCTCTCTCTCTCTCTCTCTCTCTCTCTCTCTCTCTCTCTCTCTCTCTCACTCTCTCACTCTCTTTCTTTCTTTCTTTCTTTCTTTCTTTCTTTCTTTTTCTCTCTCTCTCTTTTTCTCTCTCTCTCATTTACACTTGAATTTTTCATTGTATCTTTCATCATCCTATTGGAAGAGGCAGTAAACACTAACATTCAAGAATAATATAAGCCCTTGGGTGTTAGTGGTGCAGATCCAGCCTCTTGGTTTGTGTAGAATTTGTCCTGGTTGATCCCCATCATGTTCCTCCTTTTTTTTGGGGGGGGGGAGGTGTGGGGGGGAGAAGAATGAAGTCCACTAAATGGGTAGTGTATAACATTTTCTCTTTCTTTCTTTCTTTCTTTCTTTCTATTTGGTAGTTCTTTAGAGAAGTTGGTTAGGTTTATTATTACTGTGTATTTACAACTACTACTATCTTTGGGTTTATATACTTGTGTGTGTGTGTGTGTGTGTGTGTGTGTGTGTGTGTGTGTGTGTGTGTGTGTGTGTGTGTGTGTGTATATATATATATATATATATATATATATATATATATATATATATATATATATATATATATATATATATAATGTATATAATGTATATAAAATATTTTTTTGATTTTTTCTTATTTTCATCATTACTTGTGATTATCAGTATCATTAATGTTTTTTTTTGTTTTTTTTTACTTTGACTACTAATATGGTTGGTGATATGTTTATAACCATGTTGTAAGGAACTGTTACTTTTCTGGTATTGCAGTGAAAAATATTGTTAAAGTTTTTTTATGGAAACTGTTGTTAACATTATTCTCAATTATTAGTATTTTTTGTTGTTGTTTTTCTGTAGATATTGATACTTTTATTATTGTTTTCAGTTTAATTGACAGTTGATTATTATTATTATTTTTATTATAATGGAGGTATATGATAAATATTTTCACATTTGTAGAAAAGGTATGAATGAGAATGAATAACTTCACAATACAAGAGATATTCATTCTCATTCATACCTTTTCTACATTTGTCAACATGAATACAGTTCATGTTGACATTTTTTTGATTTTTAGGTGCTAGAAAATTCATGGGATTATGCACTGTCATTAACAAGGGTAATTTATGGAAGAAACCTACATCTGTTAGAAACCTACATCTGTTAGACCATATTAAATACCTAAGTTTCTAATGATTTTTTTTTATTTATTTGAATTTAAAAGATATAAGGAATGATGGAAGATCATAAGTTCTTAAAGTTTTAAAAGGAATTAGTCCAAGAATCATTAACTAAAACCAAATTTTTTTAGAATATATTTGTAGTGTGGTGTTACGTGCCGAATAAGTAATTAAGACTATCACTTTGTACTTTTCTTCTTCTAGGATGCAGCAGCCACCGCCAGTGATAAATGGTGGGGGACCGAGGCAGCCACAGCCTCACCGGTTCCCCGCCGCCCCTCCAGCAGGGCCTCCCATGGGCATGAAGCCTCCTGGGCCAGGCATGGCACCCCCAGTAGGCCTCCCAAGACTCAATGGGCCCCTCATGAATGGCCCACCCTCAGCCCCACCTACAAGGGCACCGCTTGTCAATGGCCAGATGGGACCTCCTCCTCCAGGACCCCCAATGGGACCTCCAGCGGGACCTCCCACCCGGCCGCCCCTGGGGCCCCCTACCCAGCCACCACTAGGACCCCCACAGAGACCCATGGGTCAACTCCCTATACCCAATGTGCCTCCCTCTGGCCCAGCTGCCAAGCTGCCCACGGGGCCCAACCTGGTGGCCTCCGGACCCCCCAGTCCTATGTTGAACGGGCACCAAAGGCCTTCGCCGCCCACCAATCTCCCAGGTAAGAAAGTGTGCAAGCAAGGTATTCTGGCTTTTCTGGCCCCTTGTAGTTAGTGTGCATCTCATGCTCTGTAGATATGTGTGGATGCTTAGGCACTGTTTTAAGAGAAACACAGATTATCTATGGGTATTAGTGGAGTTTAAGACCAAGGTCCCTCCCCCCTTGATAAGAGTATGTGTAAGTGTACCTGAAAGTATAAGGTGTACATAGATATTCCCGTTTCTTTTCCCTCTTTGCTTTGTTATGCATGAATGTGGAATGTGAGATAGCAAAGCTTTCTCTCTTTAGAGGCTAGCATGTTACAAATGTAACTAACGGGAAATAAACAAAGTTATTTATGTTGATATTGTGGAAATTAATCATTAATCAGAGTGGTGGTGGCAGAGTAAAAATGGGGGGAGAGTGAAGGGAGTGAATTTTCTTTCATAATAAAGTCAAAATGGTCTTACTGATTTTCTTTAAGATTGGGTATTTTGTTCATTTTGGTATTCTACATCTTTAGTACAAAATTTATGGAAATTCCCTGATGTCCCCTCAAAAACCTTTTTACCACATACGTCTCTTGTGTAATGCTATTGTCCCACACTGTTGCATACTTTGCAATGAAAAAAATGTGCATTAACAACAAATTTCAATTTTGGTCCCTTTTTTTTGGATAACTAAGGCAAATTTTGAAAAAGTTCGCATCAATCTCTTTGGACTTTTTTTCCATTGTAAAGTATGCAACAGTGTGGCCCAATAGTGGTACACAAGAGACGTATGTGGTATAACAGTTTTTTTGAGGGGGGCATCAGGGAATTTCCACAAATTTTGTACCAAAGATATAGAATACCAAAATGAACAGAATACCCAATTTTGGAAAATATCGATAAGACTGTTTTGATTTTATTAATATAAAAAAATTTACCCCCCTTCACCCCCATTTTTACCCTACCATCAGCACTTTGAGGGATGGTCCCCTTAAGTATGCATGCAAAAAGAAGAAGAGTTCCTAGCAAGACTGTTATGTTGGTAGTGTAGAAGCCTTTGGGCTCTTAGCTTTCATTTCTTGATCTCCTTGTGGCAGAACTGAGCTTCATTTGTGGTCTATCACTTGTAGAAGTACTCTTGTCTTCTGTAAGTTGTATATGTGAAGAGTACTTTTGGATGTGGTATTTGCATGTTGTCATCCTAGTAGTGTACTAACCTAGTTGGGCATATGTTTGGATGTCCACAGAGCCACTCTCTAACCGATCATCTAACCGGTCCTCTCGCCAGCCTTCCCCCATCCCTACTCCTCAGCTTGACCGCATGGAGATGCAGGCCACGCCTGACTCGGGCCACAGTAAGTGGCTTGTCTCAGCTTGTGTGTGCTTCCCTGCTCCTGCAGATATGCCATAGTTGTGAGGGTTACCTCATTATGTTGTAGGAAGTCAGGTTATAGATTAGAGACTAGTAGAAAATACTTTTGTAATTTGAATTGTTTCTTACAGCACCCAGTGGATCCATGACGAATCTGAGTGAAGCATCTAGCATGGGCTTGCTAAACCCAAAGTCTGCGGGCAGCTCAGGGAAGAGCACCCCTAGGATGCCCTCTCCCAGCATCCCAGGAAGTGGGGGTACAGCCGCCCCTACTAGTAGTGCCCCTGCCAATGTGCCTCCCTCCTCCCAACCTGCATCTAGTGAACAACCTGCCAGTGGTTCCTATGTTAACAGTGTGTCCTTGGACAGAACTGTGAAGCCTCAGCTTCCAAGTGGTGCTCAAGTGATGAATGGACCGCAGACTGATGTGCATGGGTCAGAGTTGCCAAAAACTATTCCTCCTTCCACCTCCAGTGCAGTATCACCACAGGTCAACAGCAACCCCTCTCTGAAACCAGAAACGAGTGCGCCATCTCTTGTCAGGCCCCCAGTGATTGGTGGTCAGAGTGTTCCTCCTTCCAGTGGTCCACCATCAACTACAGCTCCTTCAGTTTCCAGTGTCCCCACTAGTGCTCCTCAGTTTAATGGTCCTCCAGTTAGAAGTCCCATGTTTGGTAGTGGACAGCCCAGTGTCCCAGGACAGTTTGTGCCACAACATAATAATGTATATCCCCCTGCAGGGTCTTTAGCCCAACCCTCTGGACCAGCAGGCCCTACTATGACGCCAAGGGGACCACAGCCGCCTATGTCAATGGGTTCTTTACCTACTTCCATGGGACAACCACCAACATCAATGAGCATGAGTTCATTTCCAACATCAGTGAGCCAACGCCCACCAATGTCAATGGGTGTAGGTCCTCCACCATCTGGAATGGGTGGTCCTAAAGCAGGTGGTCCTCCACCCATGTCAATGGGTGCACCACCAACATCAATGGGTGTACCACCAACATCAATGGGTGCCCCACCGACATCAATGGGTGCCCCACCAACGTCAATGGGTGCCCCACCAACGTCAATGGGTGCACCACCAACGTCAATGGGTGCACCACCAACATCAATGGGTGCACCACCAACGTCAATGGGTGCACCACCGTCAATGGGTAAGCCACCTTCAATGGGTCCCCCACCTACATCTATGGGTGCACCTCCATCAATGGGCCCTCCACCTACATCTATGGGTGCACCCCCATCTATGGGGCCTCCACCTACATCTATGGGTGCACCTCCAACTATGGGCCCTCCACCTGTGTCTATGGGTGCACCTCCATCAATGGGTCCTCCACCCACTTCAATGGGTGCTCCACCAATGGGCGCTCCACCAATGGGCTATCACCAACCTCCCAGAATGCCAAACCAATCCCAACACAATGCTATGCAAGGGACCATGCCCCGGTATCCTAACCAGCCACAACCAGCACAGAAATATCCTCCTCCCCCCAGGCCAGGAGCACCACAGGGTGTGAACCAGCTATCACAGCAGCTGGGTGGTCTGTCGGTGACACGTGAAGGCTGGAACAAAGGCTGGGGGACACAGCAGATAGACCTTCTACAGCAGCGGCAGATCCTACCCCCTGAGGGTGTGGTGCCCCCGAAGCCAGTGTTGATTCAAGAGTATTTGCCTAATTGTTCGCCAGAAATCTTCCGGTGTACGCTAACAAAGGTTCCAGAGACAAAGTCAGTGCTGCAAAAGTCCCGGCTACCCTTTGGAATACTCATTCATCCGTTCAAGGACTTAGAGGTAAGAAGTATGTGGGTTCATGTCACAAACCATCACATCACTCACTAATTTCTAGTTTATTTTCATTATTGTATTGGCAACAACAATCATGCATATATATTGTGAAATTCCATGCCTTGCAAGATGATTCATGAGTTCACACATTGTAATCTGTAAGAGCAATGGTAATTTGACAGAGTCTTGATTTTTTAATAACAACATCAGCATTGATAAGCATGCTTTGATAAAAAGTTTTCATGGTGAAGGAGTAATTATTTTTGATAAGTGTTCGTAATTGTTAATGCTTTGATCTGATAGGGTTATAAAAATGATTTTGGATGTTCCTTATATGCTCTCATTTGTTCAGAATATTTTTAAAGGAGAGAGAGGGAGAGAGAAGAATCAAACACAAAAGATATGGAACTTTGAAAAGATTGATTCAAAAGGAGAGAAATGTTTTGTCTATTATTTATTAATCAATACCTAAACTTCTTTTCCAGCATCTGCCTGTTGTAAGCTGTAACACGATAGTGCGCTGCCGATCATGTCGCACATACATTAATCCCTTTGTTGTATTCAAAGGGGAACGAAGATGGGAGTGCAACCTATGTTTTAGGGTTAATGACCTTCCAGAGGAATTCCAGTATGACCCAGTAAGGAGACCTTGATTTGAAATGTAATAAATAAGAATGTGAATTAAAATGGAACTTGTTATTCATTATTAATTTTTAAAAGGTATGGAAGAGATTATAGTAAATGTATTATAAGGAAAATGTAGAAAGATCTGTGTATATGGGCAGTATATAATTCTACCTGTTCCACCACAAAACCAGGTCAGCAGGACATATGGAGACCCATCAAGACGGCCAGAGGTGAAGGAGGCCACGATAGAGTTCATTGCCCCACAGGAATATATGCTGCGGCCACCACAGCCAGCCACTTACCTCTGGGTGTTGGATGTGTCTCGGCAAGCCGTTGACACTGGTTATCTTAAGGTAGGAAAACCTATTTGTACTCTGAGGTATGAGTCTTACATTATTGATGGTTTTAGGTTGTCATGTCTTGTTTTATCTTGATGGCAAGTCTTTTAAGCCACTCATCATGGTTGATGTCCTGGTGAAACCATCACTCATACTAGTTATGTTCATTTGAGCTTGCTCTAAGTTGTGCATGGTTAACAGTTCTCTTTGTTGGCCCTGGCTGCAATCATAGAGGAGGAAGAGCCTGTCAAAAGCATCTCTGAATATTTCATGGATAGTGATTTCAACTTGGACTAATTAGAAGCATCTATTGCAGCTGTGAACAGTTATGATGAAAATCAGTATAGGTGTATATGGCTCTTACCAGTTGGTATTTAACCCCATTGATCTGGTTGTGTCATGGCAGTCACATGACCAAAAATCCGGGCATTAGGCTTACGTGAGTGGCTGCTCTGGCCACACATGAACATGTGTGTGCTGTGACAAGACTGAATACCTCTTATCGGCAATGTTATTTCCTCAAATACATAAGTGTTTTTTTTTTTTTTTTTTTTTTTTTTTTTTTTTTGCATTTTCCAGTGGTCCATATTTATTATTAAGAGTGCATTAACCAGATGGTAATGACTGTTTTTCTTTGTACAGACTCCATATTATCTCTCCAAGTAGTCTGCCGCTCAGTGCAAGACATGAAAAATATTTAACATTTTGTTACTTTGTCTTTTTTTCCCCCCTCATAATATTCAGTTTCCTGTAATAAAGCCTATGAATATCATGCTAAGCATGGAAATGGCATCCTCCATGGAGCTGGTGTTCTTCCAGTCACGGCTCACGGACATTACATTCTACACTCGTTTGTTGATGGGAATGATGCAAAATCACTGAATGAGTCGAATTAACCTCCCAAGTGGTTTGTGCACTCATGACAAGCTTTTTCTGTCACCCAGGCCTTCAGCCGAAATGCTTTTGACGGCAAGTTTGTGTTGCCCAGCCTGCAGCCAGATTTTCCAGTGACTGCATGTTCATGTTACCTGTCCCTTGAACCTGTATTTTTCATGAAGTGATGGTCATGTCATCCAGATTGAAGGGGTTAATGTAAGAGATTAATAGATATAAGATAATCACTAATTACATATTTCATGCAGGGCTATATGAGCTGTGAATAGTATATCTTTGCAGCTTAAATGAAACCTTTTGTTCACATTTTCAGATTGTATGCGACACCTTGCTTGCTCAGCTGGACAAGATCCCAGGGGACAGGCGAACCATGATTGGCTTTATCACTTTCTCCAACAATGTCCAATTTTATCTGATGGGTGAAGGTAAGAAGTTTTATTAATTCTGTGAGATGAAGGTATTATATTTTGGTACATATTTATATTTGATTTAAATGTGTATGTATACAAGTAATATATATATGTTTTTACAATTCATTCATACATCTATGCATAAACTTGTGTATTCAGTGAATGCAATTTGTAAAACTTATATGCACCTTGTTCCTGCAGACCAAAAGAGTGTACAGATCCTTGAGGTTGGGGAGGTGTCAGACATGTTTGTGCCGAATCCCGAGGATCTGCTTGTTAACTTGGAGCAAAGCCGCACATTAATAGAAGAATTGTTATCAAAGCTGCCTGACTCGCAGGCTGGAACTGTCCAGACACAGTCGGCACTTGGCCCAGCCCTTCAAGCAGCTTACAAACTAATGGTAAGATTTTGTCACTGTTTATTTATTGTATCACCTGATCTGGTTGTGTCATGGCAGTCACATGACCAAAAATCCGGGCATTAGGCTTACGTGAGTGGCTGCTCTGGCCACACATGAACATGTGTGTGCTGTTACAAGACTGAATACCTCTTATCGGCAATGTTATTTCCTCAAATACATAAGTGTTTAATTTTTTTTTTTTGTCATTTTCCAGTGTCCATATTTATTATTAAGTGTGCATTAACCAGATGGTAATGACTGTTTTCTTTGTACAGACTCCATATTATCTCTCTAAGTAGTCTGCAGCTCAGTGCAAGACATTGAAAATATTTAACATTTTGTTATTTGTCTTTTTTTCCCCCCTCATAATATTCAGTTTCCTGTAATAAAGCCTATGAATATCATGCTAAGCATGGAAATGGCATCCTCCATGGAGCTGGTGTTCTTCCAGTCACGGCTCACGGACATTACATTCTACACTCGTTTGTTGATGGGAATGATGCAAAATCACTGAATGAGTCGAATTAACCTCCCAAGTGGTTTGTGCACTCATGACAAGCTTTTTCTGTCACCCTGGCCTTCAGCCGAAATGCTTTTGACGGCAAGTTTGTGTTGCCCAGCCTGCAGCCAGATTTTCCAGTGACTGCATTTTCATGTTACCTGTCCCTTGAACCCGTATTTTTCATGAAGTGATGGTCATGTCATCCAGATTGAAGGGGTTAATGTAAGAGATTAATAAATATAAGATAATCACTAATTACATATTTCATGCAGGGCTATATGAGCTGTGAATAGTATATCTTTGCAGCTTAAATGAAACCTTTTGTTCACATTTTCAGATTGTATGCGACACCTTGCTTGCTCAGCTGGACAAGATCCCAGGGGACAGGCGAACCATGATTGGCTTTATCACTTTCTCCAACAATGTCCAATTTTATCTGATGGGTGAAGGTAAGAAGTTTTATTAATTCTGTGAGATGAAGGTATTATATTTTGGTACATATTTATATTTGATTTAAATGTGTATGTATACAAGTAATATATATATGTTTTTACAATTCATTCATACATCTATGCATAAACTTGTGTATTCAGTGAATGCAATTTGTAAAACTTATATGCACCTTGTTCCTGCAGACCAAAAGAGTGTACAGATCCTTGAGGTTGGGGAGGTGTCAGACATGTTTGTGCCGAATCCCGAGGATCTGCTTGTTAACTTGGAGCAAAGCCGCACATTAATAGAAGAATTGTTATCAAAGCTGCCTGACTCGCAGGCTGGAACTGTCCAGACACAGTCGGCACTTGGCCCAGCCCTTCAAGCAGCTTACAAACTAATGGTAAGATTTTGTCACTGTTTATTTATTGTATCTCTTTTTTCCTGTTTATTAGTCCTTCCTCTTCTCTCTTTTTTGTTAATTTTTTTCTTTGCCATTTGTTCTTATATAATAATTGAAAATCACTAAGTAATGAAACATTGCCCCTGATATTACTTGAATTATATATCAAATATTTGTATCAGCACATCTTTTACCTCCCCCCTGACAGAGTCCCATAGGTGGTCGCATCACAGTTATGACGACAACACTACCCTCAGTTGGCCCAGGTGCACTTCAACCACGAGAAGACCCGAACCAGAGGGCAGGGAGTGATGTCCAGAACATGGGGCCAGCCACCGACTTCTACAAAAAGCTTTCCCTTGACTGCTCTGGCCAACAGGTATATAATGAAGCATACTGGAATTTCTCTCCTAATGCAATTTAATGTTTAATTTGAACAAAATCTTCAATAGATTTAGATTGTAGTGTGTGTATCCATGCATGCGTTTTTCTGTGTACTGCTTATGTACATATACATATAAATATAAACATATAGTGAATAAATTTATGCATTCACATTCATATACATATACATGTGCATTGTTTTGTTTTCACAAATTGTTGCTTTCATGTATACCTCAATAGTTGGCACCCATCTGCTAACACACACCAAAGTAGGCTATGACACAGGGTTTGGTCCACCACTTGATTTGAAGTAATGTGGGCCATATGTCATTGTTAGGCAGTCATTGGTCATTGTTCTCATTCTCACCATTGAGCAAGTGGTACAGGTTCTTTACAGGATGTGTGTAAGTGCATTACTACAGTACTTGGCGCAGCAGTAGGCCGGGTCCTGGCTGCCCAGTCTACAATTTGATGAAAAAAGAATCAATCGAAATGGGGTGCGATACTTTTGGGACAAGTTAGTTGGCCGGAGGTGCCAGCTTCCTCTTCCACAAAAAAATATCTCGGTAGCCTTCAGGTTTTCTGTGTGTGAGGTCCTTTCCCAGCAGCCTAGGATTCTCTTCCTTTATTGTTCTCACTGTCATATGAGGATTATCCTTCATTATGTTTGTACACCGATCGCTTGTCTTTTTCTCAGGCCCTGGGCTCCTTTCATTGGTAGGTAGTATCGTGATCGCCACGCTGGTAGAACTTGGCAACCCAACACTGCGCAGAATGCTCACACCAAATTGTGCCACAATCTTTCATTTGCAAGCCAGATTCTTTTAAAGCAATGATCTGAGCAATCTTGTCCTGCTCTAAATGCGTGATCTTTCCTATATTAACACAGGACCACTCAAAACACTATGCAGTGGATAGAAATCCAGGGGTGCTTTGCAGTAGAGAACCTCACACACAGACAACCTGAGGGCTACAGAGATATTTTTTGTGGCAAGAACAGGAAATTCTGTCCACTAGCTGCTGGTGCTACCAGCCAACTAAGTTGTCCCAAAAGTATTGTACCCCATTTCGATTGATTCTTTTTTCGCCAAATACCTACTGCCGTGTCGAGTACTGTATTTGTATGTGTGAATAATGGCTGATTGACAAAAGAAACTCCTAACAATCCAGAGGATGGAAGTCCCAGTTAATGAGGTGCAACTAGCAAGCCTTTTGGGGGCTATTATGTTCTAGAGGGACAAAGATGAAGTTTAGTGTGCTTATAAAGCTAAAGTGTCTTAACACAAAATGGTCGGAAGTCCAGACACTAATATTGCCAGGTTTATTAGTCTCTGTAGCACTTTTAACAAGATATATATTTTTTTATAAAAAAAAAAAGATTGTTTCTCTGTACAGTCCATCAGTGGGCTGCATGTCATACCTTGAAGTACCTGTAAGTGTTGCTCATGTCCACATTGCAAGTAGGGCAGTAGATGCTGGTGTTCTTCCTACTCTGCCTCAAATGCCAACAGCACTCCCATTGTCAAGGATCTTGTTGATGGAGTGTCATCACTGCTGCAGAGGCCACCTCAGAGCAACAGGTGGGCACACTGCTATCTGGGGCCTCATGGGCTTGGCTCTTTACCTGATGTAATCTAGAAGGGGGCTTGCCACCCCTAAGGCCTTGTGGGTGTCCTCTCTGTATAAGGCATGAGGGATAGCTAAGGAGTTGATGTCTGCCAGGTAGGAAATGAAGATCTTCCTTTACCATAACTTGGACCTGCAAGTTGTTGAGGTAGTGTTTTGCCGTTTGCCAATGTCAACACGTTTCAGGCAAATACAATCAGCTACCATTAATGGATTCTCCCCATTCATTGAAACATTACCTACCGGTGGAACTGTGTTGGCAACATATACCAGTTGTCCACATATAACTGGTACCCTTTCCTAAGGAAATCACCAAACTCTAAGCACCACTCTGCTGGATGAGGGTATTGAGGCTAGGATTGAAAGTCTAGAAAACAAGTCATTTCTAGAACTTTTGCAATGAGTCATCATTGGCAATATCCCTTTCTAGCTTAACCCCTTGGTGCTGGGTCACGCCGATAAGCGTGTAAACAAACCGCTCGAAAGCTGGCATGCAGCCAAACGAGCCGGCGGCGCGCCAAACTCGCGGCAAGCCAGAGATTCGGGTTGACGTCCCGTACTCGCGCGCTCAAAGTCGGTGCCTTTGTTTGCTAGAGCGTAGAGTTTTTTTTTCCTTTTGTACACCCGGCGCCATTGGGTTAAAGGTAGAGAGGAATGAGTCACTGAGGAGGTCCAAGATTGTTTGGAACTTCCACATCCTGTCCTCCAGGAGTGGAGCTTCTTTCTGCATGTGGGCAAAGTGGAGGGTAGTTGTCAGCTATGCAAACCTATCCTTGGGCATTACTTCAGTAATGAGGTCACAGAGTAACACAGGATGGGTTGCAGTGACTGGGGTGTGGCTGTGAGGTGAGCCACATACCAGTGGGAGTGGAAATAAAACATCTTAGAAATATGTTCTGGCTGTTAAACACAAGAAACATTACATTAATTACAGCTTGGCAGGTTTTTTTTATTGATATTTTATTGGCTTTCTTGTGGAGCTTGATGGTTACTGTCCCATCTTCGTTATATATCCTGCAATATTTAACATTATACAGTAAGTCCCCAACTTAAGAACATAATGGGGATCGAGAGGCTGTTTGTAATTTGATTTATTTGTATGTCGAAACTCGGGTCTCCATTACCTTTTTTCCCATTGTTTTAAAGTTTTGTTTATATTAAGAATACCTGTAAATAAATCCCAATAAATATGACATACCTTATACAATACCAGACTCTTGAACTATATTCGTGCCCGGGAAATTTGATGTTCTTCAGTAGGGGACTATCTGTACCTCCTCTACTTCCTGTCTTTGAATAGCTTCTCGTATTGCTGATATTTGTAGAGTCAAATGCATTTTTGTAATTTGATTTATTTGTATGTCGAAAGTCGGGTCTCCATTACCTTTTTTCCCATTGTTTTAAAGTTTTGTTTACATTAAGAATACCTGTAAATAAATCCCAATAAGTATGACATACCTTATACAATACCAGACTCTTGAACTATATTCGTGCCCGGGAAATTTGAAGTTTGCTAGCATCTTTCAAACAATTTTTTTGACTTTAGTTCTTAAAAAATTTTGTATGTATGGAATGTTCATAAGTAGAATGTTCTTCAGTAGGGGACTATCTGTACCTCCTCTACTTCCTGTCTTTGAATAGCTTCTCGTATTGCTGATATTTGTAGAGTCAAATGCATTTTTGTAATTTGATTTGTTTGTATGTCGAAAGTCGGGTCTCCATTACCTTTTTTCCCATTGTTTTAAAGTTTTGTTTACATTAAGAATACCTGTAAATAAATCCCAATAAGTATGACATACCTTATACAGTACCAGACTCTTGAACTATATTCGTGCCCGGGAAATTTGAAGTTTGCTAGCATCTTTCAAACAATTTTTTTGACTTTAGTTCTTAAAAAATTTTGTATGTATGGAATGTTCATAAGTAGAATGTTCTTCAGTAGGGGACTATCTGTACCTCCTCTACTTCCTGTCTTTGAATAGCTTCTCGTATTGCTGATATTTGTAGAGTCAAATGCATTTTTGTAATTGATGAATGCCATACACAGGTGTTTCCTATATTTATTTTTTTCTCTTATTTGGGTGAGTGTGTGTGGATGTTGTCTGTTGAGAATCCACTGTGGAAGCCTGCCCGTTCTCTAGCTGGTTAGAATCCAGACTTTCAGAGATACGAGTTGTGTTGACTTTTGTGAACAGTTTGTAAGTAACTGAAAGGAGGCTTATGGTTCAGTTGTTTTTAGTTCCTTTCTAACCTCTTTTTTATATATCAAAGTAATTGTTGCATTTTCCAGACTTTTTGAATTTATGCATATTCATGTGCATAAACATATGCATTGTGCATTGATTTAATGTGTATGTCCTCCTTCCAGATTGCAGTGGATCTGTTTGCCCTGAATTCACAGTATGTTGACATGGCTACATTAACTGGGATCAGCAAGTTCTCAGGTGGCTGCATCCACCACTTCCCTGGATTCCACGTGGCCAGGAACCCTCCCTCTATCGGTCCCTTCACAGCATGTCTCACACGCTACATCACCCGCAAGATTGGCTTTGAGGCTGTCATGAGAATCAGGTAGGGTTTCATTTTGTCTTAGTTGTTTTTTGATCAATTGGGGAGTTGAGGTAGTGCGTGAGCTCTTTTTCTCCATGATTTGTCTGTTGGAAAGAATAAAATATTGTATGTTATTTCTTAAGGGTTTCATTTTGTCTTAGTTGTTTTTTGATCAATTGGGGAGTTGAGGTAGTGCATGAGCTCTTTTTCTCCATGATTTGTCTGTTGGAAAGAATAAAATATTGTATGTTATTTCTTAAGTTTGTGAATATTTTTGTGAATTTATTTTGATGAGGGAGTACTGTATGACGTTCCTGTTTATCCAATTCACAGAGCGACGCGGGGACTAGCCATCACAAATTTCCATGGTAACTTCTTTGTGCGGTCTACGGATTTGCTTTCCCTGCCTAACATCAACCCAGATGCTGGCTTTGGCATGCAAGTCAACATAGAAGAGCCGCTCCACAGCATCCGTACTGCTTGCTTCCAGGCAGCTCTCCTCTACACATCCAGTAGAGGTAAGGGTGGTCAGTGCTAGAACAGGTTGGAGGGAGGAGAAGAGGGTTCTTGGCAATTTTATGGTTGTGAAGTATTACCAAAATTTGGTAATGCTATTGTCACAAATTCATATATTTTTAATTTCCGTCATTATTTTTTATTATTTTTCAGAATAATTTAAAGTAAATTTAGTATATTTAAAGTAAACTGTTATAATTCTTAATAACCCCTTGGTGCCGGGTATGATGTGTACGTACGTGCTATGCCCACAGTGAGTACTTGTTTGATTGTTTTTACGCATAGATGGCAACACTTGTACTAAATCACCAATGAGCCAGTTACAAGCACCGCCTGTCTCGCCCGTTTATCCGTTTCTTTGATTTACAAAATATTTTACGTAATCTTATTTTGCTGTTACTGATGTTAAAATAATTATAAAAATTATAATGCTTATGATAAAAATAACACCATTGATTTTCATAGCATTAGTGAAAAATACGTTTTTCCCGCCATTTAAATCGGGTACTAGCAGAGCCATCTATCGGCAGACATTTCACGAAAAACATAGAAAGTGGGCACAATATTTTCCCCATCTTTTGTTCATTTTCCCTGGCACCATTGGGTTAAGGACACTCCGAACATCCATGAAGTTGTGACATCAGGTGACCAACAGGCAGTGATTGGCTTGTTGGCCAAGATGGCAGTGGATCGTTCTCTTACTTCTTCCCTCTCAGATGCCCGTGATGCCCTTGTCAATGCCTGCGTTGATGCGCTCACCGCCTTCAAGATGGGACTCTCCAACCCAGCGCATGGGGCCCTGGAGGTTTGCCCCAACCTGAGCCTCCTGCCACTCTTCACATTAGCACTATTTAAATCGGTAAGAACTGGATTTCTTTAATGTGGCTTGTTGATTTTTGGAGAACAATAGTAACCCCTTGATGACGGGTGAAGAAAACTAAAAAAAACAAAAAAACTACACTCTGGAGATCAATGGCAACGCACCGACTTTGACCGTGGGAGTTTGGTACATCAAGCCGAACCACTGGCTTGTAGTGCTTTGGCACGCAGTGGTGGTATACAGCCGCATGCCACAGATCAAGCAGTTTGTTTTGAATCCTTACGGCGTGAACTGTCGGGAAGGGGTTAAAGCCACTTTCCACAGGTGCCAACTCTAAAATTTTTGTGCAGCATTATATCTTCAGTTTGCATCATATAGATACAAGAATTACAATTATTGTAATATAAATTTTCTTTGTAATAAGTGTTTTCTCACATGACTTGCTTACCAGATATTTGAAAGTAGGAGAGAGGTGGAGAAATTTAGTTGAACCACATTTGTACTCTTCTTTTCAGAACGCTATTCAAAAATTAATGTCTTCGAGTTATTTGAGTGTATGCACTGAAAACTTGAGCCATAAAAATAGGGTGTAGAGTTGCAGAGAATTGTAGTATACCTACTGGAGATATCCAGGTTTTGTTACAAATGACGATATTAAAATTGGTAGTATAGCTTAATTTATATCAAGCAAACTAATATCAGCTTTAGAGGATGTAAGGCTGTACATATGACTATGAATATTGTGGTGAACATCTTTCTCCAAACAAAGGCTACACAATATAGTTCTTTTTTGTGTATTATTTAGCCTAAAGAAGGATATCTTGAATAAAAAAATCCTTATAATTTGGTCAAGGGAAATTTCATACACCAGTCACCATTTACTTCGAACTTGAATCTTGTTCTCTTTTCATACCTATAACAAATAGAACATCTCTTTGGGTTAGGAGTTGTGTTGAAAATGTTAGGGATTTTTTAATGTTTTTATTACTCAGCCATAATGATGGTATATGACCTTCAAGGTGGCCATCTTTTTTTAGATGATGATAATGGGCTCAAGGTTTTGATGATGATGATGATGAAAGCATTTGCGAGATTAGAATAGTTGAATGTGAATGTGATTATTCTGTTAGTTTATTTTTACTAGGGTTCTTCATATTTTTGCCTGTTACTCTTAGTGACACCATAATAAATGGATGGGGGGGTATTGGCACTAGTAGTTTGTTTTGAAATTAATTATACAATTACAGTTGCATATAATATGTATTTGTCCATTTTGTGCCAGGTCTTTTGTAGTCCTTGCAATCATGGCAGAAAAGATCATCTTACAGTTGCATGCAATGACAGGAATAAGGATGTTAGGAGTGTTTGATGTAATGTATTGAGTATTCTCTCCCAAGCTTTGCCCAGATGATGGCACTAGTTCCTGTTTTACTCTCATATTTCTTCATGTAAAGTGTGAACCTAGGGTATGGCAGATGTATCTCCAAAGGCCTTTTTTGTAGCATTCCAATACACCTAACATTGTTTGTTGCTGGCTCATGGTTTGAGCCAGCATTGAAGTTTGCTCTGACATGTAGTTAGAAAAAAAAAAAAAAAAGTCTCCTTATTTCACATAAGAGTCATTAGAAAATCCTTAAACTTCTTGATATGCTAGTAAAGATATAGAATTACATAGTATTTTTCCCAGAGAATTATTAACCAATCACCACCGGGTAACAGAAATCCCTGAGTATGATAAACTCTGATGATTTCTGGCAACAGCCAGACACTGGATGCGGGAGTCTGCCACATCAAGCTGAACTTCCCGCTCCATGTGCTCTGGCACGTTGCCATGTGTACAGGCATCCTCCGCAGACCAAGTGGTTTGTTATGATGCCGGTACATGTGACCCGTCTGAAATGGGTTAAATGGCTTTTAATTCGTGTATTGTAAAGAAATCAGTTTTTCAAATTTAGATGGACATCAGTCATGGCAAGTATGGTAATTGCATATTGCAGAGACCATATTAAATTTTTTTTTAATGAATCATAATTTTAGGTCTGGAGTATGGATTTATAAATAGAATTGATAGATAAACTAATGTTATAAAAAACATGTCTGCCATTTTGTTTGTGAATATGACACAACTGTGTATATGCCATTCATAGCATCTGGTATCACAAAAATTTGGTACTTCTGATCTGTATTAGTGTATTATTTTGGGAACTCTTTTCTCTGTGCATTAGGTTATTTCTCTAATTCACTTCATTTCTATTTTTTCTTGTCTCAGATTGCTTTGCGGTCAGGGACAAGCACAAAGCTGGATGATCGGCTGTATGAGATGTGTGAGCTAAAGTCGCTGCCATTGCGCCACCTCATGACCAAGTTGTATCCAGATCTCTACGCGATCCATATGCTGTCCGATAAAGGTGCCCTCAACATTGATGATCAGGTGTGTTCTCTCAGGCCATATGATTTTTGTAGGTTGATATCATGTAAGTAAATTAAAAGCAAAGAAAAAAGGGAATTTTTAGTATGTTTTTGCGAGTGGAGTTGTTTACAGGAGTAGATACCTGCCTTGTGCCTACACCAAGACATAACCCAAAGTCAGTACAGAGTTTAAGCTCTCCATAAACCTGTTTTCTGATAAGAAGTATTTATAGTAACATTATATTTATACATTTCTTTATTTTCCTTTTTTTTTTGAAAAAGGAGTGAGAGGACCTTCACTTCCTTTATTATTTATCATTTGATTATTTATCTTGTCAGGTGATACCTCAGCCTGGACGCCTGCATCTCTCTGCGGAACGTCTGGATCGAACTGGAGCCTATCTGATGGATGCAGGCAGCAGCATTTATATCTATGTGCGGTCAATGGTGTCCTCAGAGTGGGTGGAAGCAACCCTTGGTGTCCCTAGCTATGCAGCCATTCCACAGCCACTCTATGATGATGCTCTTCCTGTGCTAGACACTAGCCAGTCACACCTCCTCCACAACTTCATCTCGCACCTTCAGAGGGGCAAGCCCTATCCGGCACCTGTGTTGATCCTCAAGTGAGTGGCTGTTTGGAGGTGTATAATCTGAGGGAGCAATATTTTACCTGTGGTTTTTGAATTAATGAATGTTAAGTGAATATGAGAAGACAGTACTCTTTCTTTTCCCCTTCCCCTTCCCTCTTTCTCTTCCTCTTCCTCTCATTATTCTTCCTCTTCCCTCCCTCTCCCTCTTCCCTCACTCCTGGTCTTCCTTCCTCCTCCATCCCTTTTATAATCCAAGTAATTATATGATGCCATTTCTTGCAGAGAGGACAACCCAGCGCGCATGCTCTTCATCCAGCGGCTTGTCGACGACCGATCTGAGGGCTGCCACTCGTATGTAGAGTTCCTCCAGTATCTAAAGAAGAATGTTAAATAGTCATTTTCTTTTATGTTATTGAATGTTTAGGATGTTAAAAATATAAAAGGAAAGTGCAATTTTTCTTGTTTTTCTTCTTTTTTTTATGTATAAAGATGTTTTTGTGGAATGAAGAAATGAAGTATATATATACGTATGATTGATAACCACATTTGGGATGGGTGGAAAGGGGTTAAACAAGGAGGAAGAGGAAGATCAAACAGGTAGAGAAGATACACGGTAATTGGAAAAACAGTGGAAAAGATATATTGTAAGAATGATAGACAAGAGGAACAGGAGGAAACTCATTTTAAAACACAGTTGTGATGAATGGATTAGCATAGTTTCCAAGGGGCATCGTCGGTGTCCTTGTGTTGGTCCCTCAGGGTTCGTTAATTCCGTAGGAGAAGTGCCCATTTCACCATCATCAAGGCTTGCAGACCACTTGAGCATAAGACTTAGAATTCTGAATTAGGTTTTGGTGTCATCAAGGAGCCTTAGTCATTTAGGGTCTCGATCTTCTTCTTCGAGAGATCACTTTTGTTTTTTAAGAAAAGGAAAATTGTCATGTACTGTCCAATTTAAGTAGCTTTTTGTATGGATTTAATAATAGTTGTGTTTTTTGCATATTTTATATCGTGTAGGGTGACAGTTTTAAGAGAATATGAATGAAGTAAAATAAAAGTTTTGCTGAATGAGTCAGTGCATTTGTGGCAATAATTCTGTGACAAGATTATCCCAGGCAAGGTTTCCTTTCACGACCTGAGAAATCATTGCCGAGGGAGGTCAGGTGTCCGAACCAGATATGGGGTGTGTTATGCCCTCTAGCAGTGCTGGAAGGGTTTTGAAAAATAAAAAAATATATATAAAAAAGCAAAATAAAAAGAGAGGAAAAAAAATGGATACAGAGAATGACTGTCCAACTAGTCAAGGAATTTATTGGTAGAGAAAATATTTGATAGGAAATTGATATTCTCTCTCTCTCTCTCTCTTTCTTTCTATCTTACTCTTTTTTTATATGTTTTCACCTCCGGTATTTCACACTACATTTCGGTATTTCACACTATATTTCTATCTCCTATAACAATTATAATGATAACAGCTCCACCCTCTTATCATAATTATTATTCAGTTTTTTGTTGTATAACCTTGTGTTGGAAATTGCTGCAAAGATTAAATGTTACTGAAATACAAAAGTTTGTAATTTGTTCCTGAAGTTGAAGTGCATTGTAGATATCAAGAATGAATATATGAAAGTCCATTCCATTTAGTACAGACTAGGGGGTTTCAGATCTGTGAATCTTTTGTTAATGTTAAGTATCTTGGTGGTTTTGAATTGGATATAGATTTTAAAAAAGAATTTATTAATCCTGCTGGTCTTCTGAGGAAGCATGAAGTCCAGTATATATGAAAAAGAAAGAAGACAATAAGAACACAGTCGGAAATATTGAGGAAGAGACTGTAGGTAATGTACTAACAGTTAACATGACCAGAAAATGAGACCATGAATAGTTTGTGGTCATTGATTTTGTCTTTAGTCATGTATTTTGTCACATCCTTGACATAGAAAGAGAGGGGGGGAAATAAAAACAGTGATAATGATAGTAGCAATGATGATCAAGAAATGAACTTGGATGAGTAGTATCCCTTTTTCTACAGTACAGAAAAAAATGCCCTCTTGAATGATTATAATTTACATTACAAGAATTCTTTGGAAATCCACAATTAGTCTTATTTGAATTTGTGTAATCATTGTTTTTCTGTATCACTGGTTGAGAAAAAAAATTGTTTTCACAGTTTGCTTGGTCTCTGTCAGTCCAGAAAACAATGAACTGGCATTAAAGTTCCTGTGTCTGGCTTGCAAATTATAACTTGATGTTCAGTGTGGTAGACTGCTGCTTTTGTGTGAAGACAGAAATAAAAGAAAAATAAGCATAATGATGGTAACCATTTATCTGTAGACAAGATCATCAAAGCCCTATATAGTGATAAAGTATATCAGTGGATTTGTAGGTGCTTATAGACATTCTATATATATGGAAGGAAGAAAAAGATTCCAGCCACCCCCCCAGCCCCCCTCTCTGTTTACTGGGTAGTTAGTGGAAAATATAGAAACGTTTTGAAAATGAAAGTATGAAGATCTGTGTCATTGCCTCTTCAAAATTATACTTTTTATATTGGACTGTAAAAAAGAAAAAAAGAAAATATGCAGCTGTTTCATTTGCATGTGAATTACTTTGTCAATTTTACTTGCCTTAAAATAAAATGTGGGTAGCGTTACACCTAGTCCATGAGACCTATGTACTCTTTATTATTGTTATTAACCTGTGAACCCGTGTATATCCAGAAGTATATATTTTATTTACTCTATTCCCATTTTATATTTTGAATTACTAGCATTGGAAATTGATGATTACATTGTCCCTGCTCAACTTCATTATATTTCACTGTAACGCCTTGTCTGTCCTTGGTGGGCTTGCACTGGGCGTATATTAACCATATATACTTAGCGTGAATGAATTTGCGTGTCAACATGTTAAAGTATGGAATGAATTATTGTAGGTTTGTGCTCAGAATATCACATTATCACTCATCCACGCGTGTGTGTCTGCATGCACACTCATACACACATACAGCCACAGATACACTCGCACACAGACACACACATGCACCCACACACACCTGCGCACGTGCGCTATAACACACACAAAAATACAAACACAAAAATACACACATGCACTCAAACACGCACACGCAGACACGCACAAACATACACACAATTTTTAAAAAATATTTTTGTTACTATTTTTATTTTGTGGGGAATGCTTGACATCAGTTACAGATGTCAGATCTCCCAAACAGCAGGTAATAGGATTATCTTTTTTTGATACATTGGGAGGGACAGGGCAGGTTTAGTCATTTTTCTTCTGTAATAAGTGAAGGAAGACGCTCATAAGATTAGGGATAATGCAAGTGACGTTTACAGCTTAGAGGGAAATGGAAACCTTTGTCAAGAAAATAACCAAGAAAGAAAATAATTTTAGCATTTTTTTTTTTCTTGATAATATATATATATATTTTTTGTGTGTATGGGTGTAAAATACAGCTTGTACATAGACCTATAGCTTTTCTGTTTCTATTTGATAAGTAATTGGGTTATATATATGTGAACCAAGTCAAAATATACTGAAATCCTTTGCTTAAATGAATGAATTATAGTTTTATCAAGCTGTGCTCATTTTGTTAGTTATCAATGGATGCAACATTTACCTGTTTTTTGTCCTAATCAGCTGTTGCCCAAGTTGCCAGATGTACATTTTCAAACTTGTGATTTAAATCTGTAATTAAGGAAATGATTGCACAATAAAATGTTATATAAATACAAATTGGTTTTGTGTTCCTTTGATGAACGGCATTGTAGTACAAGTATTATTTTATGTGAATTTATAAATGTCATTGTTTTTATGTTTTTTATGCTTGTCTGTATTTCTCTATGGTGTATTATCTCACATATTTTGCTTGTCAGTTTTAAGATATATGAATTGCAAACTCCAGCAAACCAAAGTGATACCCTTGTCATTTTCATGTATTTCTTACCATGATTGATGATGTCTATACCAGATAATGCAAACTGAAGTGTACATCTTATTTTCTGATCACTAGATAGAATTAGTATTTTATCTTTCACCATGTTTATCATTATACTCAGCATGACAGTCTGGCATTATGGAAGGAGTAGTCAGGTGCATTTAGTATTCCTCTCTTTTATGTCTTTACATCAAATCTATGATACCTGTAGCCCCTAAAGTCTTTCAGTTTGGCCTGATCCTCAAGAAATTGTTACCCTGTTACATAGCAACTGGTAAGTAGAGACTGACACGGACACTCGTATTCAGAGAGACACTGGACACCTTAAATGGAAAGCTGGACTGGTTCTCAGTTTAAGGGGTCTGATGTGTCTCAGAATATTGGACTGAGACTGATATTTATATTCAGAGACACTTAAGACACATTTTCCGGTGGAGTTCTGCTGCCACCACTGCTCTGTTTGGGTGCAATGTGAGGCAGCCTTGACAGTGAATTGGCTGAAGGGTATGCATGCTGGTCCTGCTCTGTGTAAGGTGAATATGAGTTAAAATTCTTATATTTGGAGACACTTCGGACACCTTATAAGGAGAGCTTGGCCAGTATCTCATGACCGTCAGCCAATCACTGTTGGCCGCAGTGCAAGATAGCCTGATGGTGATTGGCTGACGAGCACTTGATACTGGTCCTGCACCTCCATTGAAGGTGTCTGAAGTGTCTCTATATATGAGTGTGAGACTGAGACAGACTGAGGCTAGTACATATCTAGTTCTCTTATTTGTCATCATGGTGCTCAGCTAAGGTATTAATGTTCTATCCTTGGAGTGAGAGTGAGAATTAAAGTGTCTTGTCATAATATTTTATTGTGTATATCTGTCATTCACGTTTTCCTTTATAAAGTACTTCTTTGTGCAACAGATCACTGACAGGTATGTATGTTTGTTATTTTCAAGACAATTGGAAAATATGGAACATATTGCCTACACTGACGACTCAAGTCCAGGACAGGCTTTCATTTTGTCATTTAGTGGTATGCAAAGCTTTTGTTTGTGAACATTAGATATTTGTAATTGAACATTTCTTCTTAGTAAGATGCATTTATTTCTCCTGTATATAATACTATGTAATAGGTAAATTAGCATGCAGCCCTTCAAATCATTAGTGTTCAATAGTAGACCATTGTTTAAAATGTTTGCATACCCCAGCTTTATACTCTTTTCTAGTTTTAATTCTAATTAAAAACAGCAAAAGGAAATAGGTCTGTTCCACTTGATCAAAAATGTGGAATCAGTGAAAGCTGTCCATCTATTTGAGAAACATTCTATAGAGAATTGCTATGTTATTACATTACACATCAACCTTTTACTGATCTAGTTGTACTAAATTTAATCTCCTGAAACTGTTTCTTTGAAGAAAAAAAAAAATGTCATTGTTATTACCACATCATTATTGTTACTGGTATCATTATTATTGTCATTGTCATTGTTAAAATCATCATAATCATTATTATGTATTATAACTAGACTGCGGGCGAGACGGGCGGTGCTTGTAACTGGCTCATTGGTGATTTAGTACAAGTGTTGCCATCTATGCGTAAAAACAATCAAACAAGTACTCACGGTGGGCATAGCACGTACATCGTACCCGGCACCAAGGGGTTAAAAATACATGACAAGAATTCTGTGTGACCACTATGGTTGATTGCAATCTGAATACAAATATGCGTATGGAATATCATAGCAGATCAACCTTTAATAATTATCATCTGATCCTCTTTTTTACAAAAAAGCACAATTTTGAGAGCTAGAACAAAAATGTAAGATTAAAATTGAAGGATTATCAGTGAATTGAATGAGTGAGTGTGAATAGGAGGGAGTAAGAGAAGTAGTAAATATGGGAATAAAATAAATCAACTTGTGCTATTTAATGTGCAAAACTAACAAATTTGTTCATTTTATTCCTTACAGTCTTGGCTGTATCATGGAAACATTGTATACAAAAGTATTGTCAGACAAATTTTGGTATTTAATATTTTGAAAGGATAAAGTTTTCTTTTCTTGTTACACAAATAGTGGTCCATTACATTTCAATAGGTACTTCCTGATTGTATGTTCATAGAGGAGACTACTACAAAGAAACCTTTAGGGCCTTTTCTCAAAGCAAATCAAAGATGGGTCACTTGGGACTTGCTTTGCTTCTGTGTGTGTGGTATGTTTCTGCTAATTATCCATCTTTCAAAAAACATTCAGTCATAATGGCATTTAATTTATCTTTCCCTACAGAAAATGGAAAAAAAATCCACTTCTCATGGTAAGGGAAAATGTTTCCTGAAAATTTTGGGAGGGGCATCTTGAGCTTGAAAATATAATTAATTACATGTTAAATACCATGAAACTTGAGTTATTTACTCTGAAGACTTTGAGAAAAAAGGTATAAATTTGTTAATAATGCTTTTATCATTTTCTGTTGATTTTCCTTTGCATAGTTGATTTAGAAATGTGTTTAGGAATTTTTTTGTGTGTGTAAAATAGTGATATCTAGAGTCACATCATCTGCAGACTTTACAAATAAATGGTAAGAAAAAGAAACTTCAAGTAATGTCTTCTAGTGCCATGTGCATTTTAAAAATTTTAGGAGAGAACTTTCTTTTCCTGTCATATTTTCTGCACCAACCAAATTATCATTCCTTTTCATTATGTAACATATCAAAAGAATTGAGAATTGATAATTTGATATATACTTTACATTCTTATATCCTATGGATGTGTTCAATTTGCTTATGTACTAGCCAACGAAGGAGTCAATTAGTAGACTCTACCTAATTTCACCTTTCCTTGAATTGGCGGAAAAATGTTTTTTTTTACTAATGCTATGAATATTTATATTAGACATTATAATTGATATAGTGTTATAAACATTAGTAACAGCAAAATAAGGTAACGTATAATATTTTTGTATATCAAGAATAAGGTTAAACAAGCGAGACTGGCAGTACTTGTAATTAACTCATTGGTGACTCAGTACTAGGATAGCCATCTATGTATAAACATAATTAAACTCACAGTGGGCATGGCATGTACGTTAATGCAGTGCTTGTCAGAATTGGGTTAATTTTAAAATCACTAATTATCCTACAAATATTAGGATATATTTTTTTAATCAGCCATTTTTTATATGGAAATGCTTTTTGTTACCCATAACTGAGGGTGTGTAAAGTCAGCCAGCTCCTAGTTGTGTGCCCTTAAGTTTTTCTTCTTTCTAATTTTTCTCTCAAGTGGTCGACTGCAGGCAATCCCCAGCTCATGGCTTAGTTCAGCAGGTGGAAATTCCATCACAACTGGGTTATTTTGACAATTAATTATAAGTAATTGTTTATATAATTAGATTATTTTCAGGCTTTTGATTGGGGATCCCACATATCCACTAAATATTATCAATATTACTTATTTGGTGAAGTTTCTGCCACATTGAACATCTAAGGTCATTAGCGGTGTATTCAAAATATAGCATTCAGGTGCGTCTTGTAGGGGATGCCTCCAGGTAAGGAAGTTTTTTTGTTCAATAAAGTGATGTTTGTGGATTTCCAGAATAATTAAAAAAATAAAAGTGCCAGACATCAAAAGACTTACAAGAGTATTAAATGAGCCATTCCATGACAATGACTGGGGGTGTTATTTTCAATACGTTTTCATGTTATAACAAACATTTAGCAGAATGGAAGGAAATTTTTTACTGGTTGAGTATTAGTTTAAGTTACTTCTAAATAAATAGGTTTATCTTGTAAATTACATACACTAGCAGATTCTGCATCTGAATGTTGTGGAATATTATTTCACACTAAAGATGTATCTGGTGTAACAATGCAATATTGTATGTCTATATTAGTTTTTTTTTTTTAAATGCACAATATTCTATGTAAATGAGTGGTTATTATTCATATATATGAAATGCATATACTTGACTATAGTCTGTTCAGTCTTGTTGCCAATCCAAAAACTGGTGCACTTTGTGTTCTGATATCAAACAGGGAACCAACCCAGCAATCCTTTCAAAAGTTACTGTCCTGAAACCAACAATGTCTTTGCTAAAGTACATAGAATGGACTATAAGTACAAGTGGTTTTAACATGTATATTTGCTTATGATATAATAATAGACAAGATGAGGTGACTATATTTTTTAAATTTTAGAAATATGTTCCAGTAAAACAGTTGACAGCCAAAACGCATGCAATTTGTGTTTATTATTTAGCATACTTATTTATTTGGCACATTGTGTCTTGAAAGGAAAAAAGGAAAGAACTTAACTTTCACCGTCTGAAGTTTATAAAAAGTTTTTGACCTTTGTTTAACAAATAACAAATATGATCCTTCATTTATAAAAGACTTTCAAAAAGTTTGCCTTGCAAGAAACAAACAAACAAAAAGTGGCATTTAGAAAAAAAATTAAATGCCCTCATTTTAAGAAAGTATATTCTGTATTTATCTACCAGAGTCCTAAGGGTTTATTGGCCTCTAGATGTTTACAAAAATCTAAGTCAAAGAACAGACATTTTATTCAGTATAGTGAAGGTCAGATGGAAAACTGCATCCTGATCTCTGAATGATCTCAGTGGCTGCCCAGATGCCGCACTTTATGCACGACTCGATTGGCTTTCCCTGGACCAGCTGTGCTACAAAGCCTGCAAGGAGAGGAAGGTCAACTTGAATTAAATGTGGGACTTGCTTAAAAAAATAAAAATAAATAAAAAATAAAACTAATAAATAAAATAAAATAAATGTAAATGAAAAGTAGTATTGTAACAATACTAAGTGATTTAAGAAGATAAAACTGCAGAATTTAATAAACAATGTAAACACTAATTCATCCATGTCATGAAAATGATGAAAATCTTAACTGAGATCTTACTCCTGGGATGCCAGGCATCCAAATTTCTACTCATTTGTCTAAAAAGCTTAACACTTTACCAAATTCCTAAACTAAACAATAAATAATTTCAGAGCATAAGCCCCCCCCCCCCCCCCCCATGAGTGAACCGCAAGTTTTGCCAGTTTTTTTTTTTTTTTATTATTATTATTACTATTACTATAATCCGAGGAAAAATATTAGAAAAAAATTAAATGCCCTCATTTAAGAAAGTATATTCTGTATTTATCTACCAGAGTCCTAAGGGTTTATTGGCCTCTAGATGTTTACAAAAATCTAAGTCAAAGAACAGACATTTTATTCAGTATAGTGAAGGTCAGATGGAAAACTGCATCCTGATCTCTGAATGATCTCAGTGGCTGCCCAGATGCCGCACTTTATGCACGACTCGATTGGCTTTCCCTGGACCAGCTGTGCTACAAAACCTGCAAGGAGAGGAAGGTCAACTTGAATTAAATGTGGGACTTGCTAAAAAAAAAAAAAAAAAAAAAAAAAAATAAATAAATAAAAAATAAAACTAATAAATAAAATAAAATAAATGTAAATGAAAAGTAGTATTGTAACAATACTAAGTGATTTAAGAAGATAAAACTGCAGAATTTAATAAACAATGTAAACACTAATTCATCCATGTCATGAAAATGATGAAAATCTTAACTGAGATCTTACTCCTGGGATGCCAGGCATCCAAATTTCTACTCATTTGCCTAAAAAGCTTAACACTTTACCAAATTCCTAAACTAAACAATAAATAATTTCAGAGCATAAGCCCCCCCCCCCCCCCATGAGTGAACCGCAAGTTTTGCCAGTTTTTTTTTTTTTAATTATTATTATTACTATTACTATATGAGGGAAAAATAGTAAGAAAAAAATTAAGAAGACAAAAAGAAATGAAAATACAACTAACCTCTGGCTACGATAATGTCTTCAGCTCCTTGAGTGAACACAACAATACGTTCTCTCTTGGAGTTCTTCTTGGGCAAGGCAGCTGTCTTTAGGGCTATGTCTTTTACATCTGTTGTACCAAATTCATGGATCTCAGCAAACTTGGCAGCTTCCTGCAAATTATAGAAAATACCAATAAGTGCTATCACACACAGTAAATTCTTTACACATGTTTGTCTTGCAAAAAACTATTCTATTTTACTAAGGAAGGGAAAATTACACAATCTCAAAATATGAATGGGATTGACCTATGCATCAAGATGAAAACGGGCAGAAACTTTATTTCATATTTTTTGCCTTGACAAGTCTCTCATCCCTGTGGGTTTGTTGTCAACAAGTTATGCTTGTCAATGAGTATTAAAAATCCTGCAATATACATCCTAGCCCTGACAGACAAAGGGAATTTGGAACAAAAAGAAAGTGTAACATGGGAGTAACTTAACACACATGAAAACTGATATTTTGTATTACAATTTAGTGTTCATTGTTATATTGTTTTGCCAAATATCTTTACAAATAGATGAATCCACAAGAGCGTAACCACAAAGGAGTCAATCAGTAGACCTTGTGACCTGCTTTCACCTTTCCTCGAGTTTTTTGGCACCCCCCCACCCCTCTGTTGTTGTCGTGGGGGTGGCTAAGGAGACAGAGACTGAGGCACTATGTAGGGGCTCACCCCTGCCTAGGACCTCAGGCATATCCTCAACTAATTTTTGCATAGTCTTTTCTTCTCCTTTCCTTTTCTTTCTCTTCTTCATCCCCTTCTTCCTACTTATCCTAATCATGTATGTACATACCATTCCCAACAGCATCAGGTTAAGAAAAAATCACACAGCAGAAGCACACACATACACACAAAGAATTAATAAAAACACCAACGCCATAACTCACCGTCTCATTTCCGAACAGGATGTCAATGTAGGGGAAGGCCTTCATCATGGGGTCCTTGAAGAACTCGCACAGGAATGGGGCCGACAGGTTCATACAAAAGACCTTATTGTTCTCACAGGCATGTTCGCCCACCATCATGATCGACTCGGGTGACACAGTGAGGAAGAATCCCTTGGGGTGAGAAAGGGCGTTATGAGAGAAAGGAACACGCTAGTTGAAGATTGACTTCTGGATTGATGGCTGATATAATGAACGTCCACCTCATCACAACATAGTTGTAAGCTTTTACACACATGGGACCAGAAAGTTGTTTTTGGGGTTAATTCAGTTCAATTTAATCTAATTTGATTTTGTATAATAAAAATTTGTCAAAATTATTTTTGGGATGATATGCTATTTCAATATGTACACATACCAGTAAATGACGTGTTGCATATTTTATATTTTATTTTGTTTTTATTTATAATTTTTTAAAAAGATGGTTTGGACAAATCAATCTTAATGCCTTATAAAGTACAAGCTGTACATGCTACTTTCACTAACGTGATTAAGCACAATGAATGAAAATGGCAAATTTAAATTGCTGTTGTTCTTTCTGTTTCTATCATGGAAGTAGTACTATCCAGAATCAATAACTATTAAATTATAGGAGCTCTTTAGCATAATCCTTTGTAAAAAGGACCGAAATCACGGAAGATAAATAAAGATGTACAAAGAAAAAATACAAATATTTCTACACACATACATATACATAATTATGTATGTACACATTCATGTGTATATACATATGTATATGTTTATGTATATAAACATACATATGCATATATAAATACCCAAATTATATATATATATATATATATATATATATATATATATATATATATATATATATATATATATATATACACACACACACACACACACATACACATGTATACATATATATACATATACACATGTATACATATATATACATATACACATACACATGTATACATATATATACATATACACGTGTATACATATATATACATATACACATGTATAGATATATATACATATACACATGTATACATATATATACACACCACATATGTATGCATATATACGCATGTATACACACATATATACATATGTATACACATATACATGTACATCCATACATACATATATAATAACATTATTTACAGTGTATACTAAAACTAATAATCAAGCATCACTTAAAAACCCAACTGAAAAAACCCTAGAACTCACTGAGATATAGTAGAAGTTGGCCTTCTCGACAAGGGCTTTGTTCTCAGCAATTTCCAGGTGGGACTTGGTAAAGTGATTGGCAGCGGCAAGATTGGCTACAAGTGACCTGCATGTTCCACTCTTGGTCACAATTACAGCACAAGTACCTGCAGGGGAGAGGAAAGGACTGGGCTCAGGAGAGGTGCATGCTGGCAGACTGAAGGACCTTTAAAGCAACTGAGGCAGAAAGGGGCAAATGAAGGCAGGCCATGGCAGGGAGTGTGAAGTGTGACTTGGTGTTGGTGTTAGGAGGAAGGAAGGAGGGAGTGAGGCAGAGCAAGGTGAATAAAGCCATACCTCATGATATCCCTGAATACGGGGGATGAAATTTACCCATGAGAAAAAACAACAACAGAGAGGTGCAGACATCCACTTTGTTATATTTTGGGGATGCGCAAGCCTCTAAAATGTTTATAATGTGTGAGTAATGTTCTTCCCTTATTTGTTGAATGGGGGAAAAAAAAATTGCCAATAGAAAGAGTATATGGTTATCCCTCAGGAGTCTGAAGAAAATAAATGGAAAGTAAGAGAGAGGTGGATGACTGGAAGGAGGGTGAAGAGAGGGAAGGAGTAGAGTGGGAGAGAAGGAGAAAAGAAATGCAACAGATAGATGTTAATAAGAGAAGTGAGAAGAAGAGCAGAGAAAATAAAAAGTAAGAGATGGAATAAAGAGAAGAAAAGAGGAGAGAAGATGAGATAGAGGAGAGAATAAAGAGGGCAAGTGAGAAAGAAAAAGATAGAGAAAAAGGGGGGGGGGGAGAATTGTAGGGGAGTGTGGCTTGGAGGTTGGACGGGGCCTCAAAACACTGGTGTTATCGCTTAATTAGTTAAGATGCAGAAAAATGAAGCAGGAACTTTATTTTCTTAATTTTCTTTATACTTTTAAGGGAAGAAAAAGCCATTCACTTTTGCTGTTATTTTTTTTTAAACCTAAGACTAATATAAAAAGGAGACTAAATCTGAGAGAAAAAATATAAAGACAAAAGTAAAATGCACTTGCCATCATGTATAGAAAAGAGACAATGAGAAAAATATGGAAAGCAAAAGACAATATAAAGAAGATAATAAAAAAAAAATGTATATATGTGCAGAGAGCAATCACAGGCGTAAGCACTGATACTACTCACTAAAGAGAAGAATGAAAGAAAAAAAAAGGAAGAAGAAAACGAGAATTAATAAACCTGCAAGATTTACACACAAAGAGACAATTATCTGCCAAAGCGACAGCTATCAGGCAACTTATATAAATACAAGAGAGAAAAACAAAAAAAGAAGAGTAGGAATAATAGTAAGAAAATAAATAAATAAATAAAATAATACAATAAATAAAAAAATACTAACGCAATCTAAAAGAGAAATATACTTTTATATATATATTCCAGCCACACCCTGACCCCATACCTGTGGAATGGTCGTCCTGCTTCTGGTAACGCACGACAACTCCCGCTTCCTCGGCCTTTTTCGCTAACGTCTTGCCGAACTCGTCCTTGCCGATGGAGCCCATGAAGGTGGCGCACTTGGGCTCTCTCAGAATCCACTGTTGGAGAGGAAAGCAAGGCTGGTGAATGTGAGGGACATGATGTTGAAAATGAATAGGTCAGAGAAATCCAAGAGACGGAGACATTGGAAACAAAGAATTTGAATGATATAAATGTTTTGTATTCTGGAAAGGAGGAAAGTAAGAGTATAAAAGTAAAAAGGGGGGAGAGGCGGCTCTCTACTGTCATTTTCTGTAGATTTTGTTGCGCACAGATTGTTCCACAATTGCTAAGCTGCCAAGGAGTCAATGAGAAGCACTGGTAACTGATTTCTCCATTCCTTGGATATGCAGGATTTTTTCTTCTTTCTAATGCTATTAATTGATAATGTTATCATTATTATTGACAATAATTATCATAATGCTATGAAAATACTGCTAATAGAAATAGCAAAATAATAATAATGATAAAAAACTTTCCAATCATGGAAAAGGGTAAAAAGGTGAGATAACCAGCACTAATAACTGACTCCTTGGTGACTAAGCACTTGTGGAGCCATCCTTGTTTTAACAAAATTAAATGAACTAAAATTATGGTGGAGATGGAATGTTTTTTATTTTGATCATAATGATAATGATTATCAATCATGTCATAATTATTATCATAATTATCATAGTGATCATTCTATTAATCATGATGATAATTATCATCATAATAATAATGATAGTGATGATAATAATGATTATCATAATGATAACAATAATTATAATAATAATAATTATGACAACCCTTATCAGAAAGAAATATAGGAGGAAGAAAATGAAAAAAAAGAAGAAGAAAAACTGCAGCTAATGACACAAAGTCCAAGCCCCCCGAATCGGATGCCTCCCCTCTGACGGCCTAATCCTTTCACCTTCTTTATCAACAGACAGATATTACTCTAAGTACAAGGGCTTTAGCTGATACGGGCTCTTAATCCCCGGCCGCCCCCTCCCCCCAAGGAAGTTCAAAGTGTAGCCTGGAGATGATGATTCATACTGACGGACTGGGAGTTAACCCTCATGAGAGAAGAGGTGATTGTGTAATGTTAGGAAAGGGTGACAGTTGTAGGAGAGAAAAAGAAGAAGAAACAGAAGGAGAGAGAGAGAGAGAGAGAGAGAGAGAGAGAGAAAGAGAGAAAGGAGAGAGAGAGAGAGAGAGAGAGAGAGAGAGAGAGAGAGAGAGAGAGAGAGAGAGAGAGAGAGAGAGAGAGAGAGAGAGAGAGAGAGAGAGAGAGAGAGAGAGAGAGAGAGAGAGAAGGAGAGAAAGGAGAGAGAGAGAGAAGAGAGAGAGAGAGAGAGAGAGAGAGAGAGAGAGAGAGAGAGAGAAAGGGATAGAGAGAGAGAGAGAAAGGGATAGAGAGAGAAAGAGAAAGGGATAGAGAAGTGATTGAGAGCAAGGGATGAGGGAGGAGGAGAGAGATAAAAGCGAAGGAAAAAAAAGAAAAGGGATGATCCCATAAAACACAACCAAACAAAATCATATCACAATAGGTAGTGCATACAGAATCCCCCTCCCCCCCTTCCACCCTTACCTGTGCTACTCTCATGGAGTTCTGTGTGGCTCCCCCAGCAATGTACTCCACACCGTCCATCTCTGCCATCTCTTTGTACATGGGAATGTGCTTCTCCTCGGCCAGGATCGCATTGTTGGCCTCCAAGTCGTATTTCTTCAGGAAGTCCTCGTTGCTGTTGACGCAGATGTCCAACAGGGGGTTGCCCATGCCAAAAAGTACACCTTCCCTGTAGGGTGAAATAAGAGAAAGGAGTATTTAATATAGTGGAAAATAAGAAAAAAGAGAAAGGAGTATTTAATATAGTGGAAAATAAGAAATAAGAGAAAGGAGTAATTAATATAATGGAATTTATAATGAAGATGGCTAATTATCTACTTGAATACATACGTATTTTAAGGTAAAAATCTATTTATCCGACCACGTACAAACATTCAAACTCCACCTCAGAGTATCTTTTCTTTCTGTTAAACTAGAACATTACAAGAGCAAGATCAAACAAGAAGAAGAAGAAAAAGAAAAAAAAAAAGGAAAAAGTCCTATTACTCTGCACCCATTCATACTCCTGTCTGTCAATCAGTTGCAAAAATGACACTATTCCTTTCAACACTCTTTACTATCATCACCACCACCACCACCCTCATTACTATCCCTTTTCACCTCACTTCAGAGGTAGATGGTAAGGGAGGGGGGGTGGGGTGTTTATCTGTCCTTGAAATGCAATAACTGAAATATCTAGGACATCCTTGGGTCTGACGTAATTCTCCTGAGAGAGTTTCAGGTGTTTGCATTTATGATGGGGGGAGGGAGGGGGGGGGGTAGATTTCACTTAAGAGGTGCAAAAGATGAACATGAAAGAAGAGTAAAGAAGAGGTGAAGGAAATGGTAGTGAATTTGAAAAGATGAAAAAGGAAAATGGAGATGACAAGGGTAGAGATGAGGAGAAAAGTGAGAGAGAGAGAGAGAGAGAGAGAGAATGTAAATATGGAACAAAGATGATAAAGAACTAGTAAAAGAAGAAAATCTTAGCAAACCATTCAACAGGAAAATGAGTTGTTCATTAAAACCTTACGTAATGCAAGAACACGACCGAAATGAAAACATGTGAATCACACAACCAAACAATCAGGCCTGTAATCAGATTGATCTATAAAAAAAAATAATATCTGCACTCCATTTAATCTCCACGTACACACAAAAAACAAAGTTTGCCCATGGCACCATTGTCCACTACAGAAGTACTTATTTACGTGCATAACTTCTGGCGCCCGTGTCTTGATCGCTGACAGAGATTAAATGAGCTGATCAAAACAATACATAAAAATATGTACTAAAAATATGCTTTCCCATATCACAGCACCCAAACTTGCTATCATGGTTTTATCTCTGAGCTGGCGACAGAGTTACTCTGTAAACACTACTGGCAGATAAAGTGTTATGAAGAAAGAGAGAGAGAGTGAGAGAGAGAGAGAGAAAGAGAGAGAGAGAGATGGTAAGCCAGCCATTACATCACTACATGCAATAAGCACCACGTAACACAACATGTAATAAACAAGTACTGCCTTGAAATTCAGTTTCACTATTTTTCCGTCAAGCTCTCTCTCTATCTTCTGTGACCTATACCAAATACCAGTAATTTTCCACAGGAAACTAAAGTGGTAAAATCAAGCCTTCTGTAGTATATTAATTTCTCAAAGATTGGAAAACACTTTTCCTAGAATTGTCAAGAAATACCTTTAATCTTTAAATTTTCAACAAATAGGAAGAACAGCTGACTATTTAAATACTTTCTCAGCTTTCAACGTGCTGCTCACTAATTGACGCAAAATGTACCAGATAAAAGAGAGAGATACTCAGCCTCTCTCCTCTGCAGACGTCATAAGTACTGTTCTGTGAAAAGGACAGGAAGAACATGTGTACGTACCCTAACATTTTTTTTTTTTTTTATGTATATGATACACAGACATTTATTATTGCTCACATTTTTTTTTTTTTTTTTTTTAGATTGAACCTATTATGAAGAGTTAAATAGGTACACTCTGCTAATAGTGCTTGCAATTTTGGGAGCCTTTTCTGAATTAATGTTCCCTTCTTGGAAAGACTTCAAAAATAAAGAATGACTAGATTTTGAAGACAAATATTCTGACGTTTCTAAAAATGCAGTCACTGTGATAACTATCTACTTAGTAAGTTCTGATTAGATTATCCCAATGAATGATATTTGATTACTGGGTTATAAGGTAAAGGTGGCCTTATCATCCGCTAACGTATAACCATGACATCAGCTATATTATCAGGTGTATAAATACACTCTCTCCTCTGGGTTTATGCATTCTTAGTTTCAATTCCACGTTGGAGCTTTCAGTTACATTTTCCTCAGGCCATTTCCATTTGGTATTGCCAGTAGTGCCACTGAATTCATTAAAGGTATGGATACAAAAACGTTACTGTACATTCTGGTGACCATTTCTGCATGTGGGGGATTGACGATTCCCGAAAGATCAACGCAGAAGGAGGCAAAGCACTCTGGGATCCTGCCCCCTCTGCCATCCCCAATCTGGAACAGTTATGCTCAGAACAAAGTCGAATTCTTCCAACGGCGTCTAAAGAGTGACTCCAAAGATCGGCCTTCGTTGGGTGTTTCATCTTCAAGAGGAATCAGTGTTCATCCTCAAAGCAAACTCCTTACAGATACACCTAAGGAGAAGGGTAGCCTGGCTGCTAGGCCTCACGATGTCTTTTCCAACTGGGTATCAAGGAAAGTGCCCGATAAAGTATCACATGTCAGGAAAGTCACTGGCAAATCAGACAATCTTTCTGAGACAGCCCCTGAGTCCCTGAGGAATCTTCTAAATAAGCTGAACCAAAAGCTCCCTCTAAACCCAGAACAAGACTCCCAAGACTGTTCCAACGTGTGTCCGCCAAGTGAGTGTTGTAAGACTTTTCAGTTCTCTTAGCTCTTGTATTTCATAAATATCCCAGACACAGTGAATGAGGAAGAACTAACAAAAATCCCTTTCTCCCCAGGTGAGGATTTCTGGCCCTGCCAGTGTGACCCATGCTCCAAGGTCATCAACTGCTCTGCTGTTACGAATCTGAACCAACTACAGGAGCTCTTTCACACAGTCTCCTTTCCGATAAAAAAGTAATCACTAACTAACTGCTTATTATTTTTGATCAGACATATCACAGATAATAAAGACAAAATGACATGAATAACACCTCTTACTTTTTCTCATGTTTTTAAAACTTTTTTCTTCATTGGCAGTTACACCACATTCATGATGATACAATATGAATTCCCTTCAGTCAAGAACCAGACCTTACTCACAGACAACCTCTTTGGTGGAGTTTCCTTCATCAATATTGTAATTGAGAATACCCTTGTTGAGAGTATAGCAGCCAATGCCTTTGCTGGAAGTGAGGGGACACTCGAGGAAATCTCCTTGCAGTATAACATTCATCTTCGACACTTCCCCTTTGAAGAGGTAGGAATGGAGTTATTTACTACAGCAGCAGAGAGAGAGAGAGAGAGAGAGAGAGAGAGAGAGAGAGAGAGAGAGAGAGAGAGAGAGAGAGAGGGGGGGGGAGTGAATGAGAGGGAGGGAGGGAGTGAATGAGAGGGAGGGAGGGAGTGAATGAGAGGGAGGGAGGGAGGGAGGGAGTGAATGAGAGGGAGGGAGGGAGGGAGGGAGGGAGTGAATGAGAGGGAGGGAGAGAGTGAATGAGAGAGAGAGAGAGAGAGAGAGAGAGAGAGAGAGAGAGAGAGAGAGAGAGAGAGAGAGAGAGGAAGTGAGGGAGAGGAAGAGAGAGAGAAAGTGAGGGAGAGGAAGAGAGAGAGAAAGAGAGAGGGAGAAAGAGAGAGAGAGAGAGAAATAGAGGGAGGGAGAGAGAAATAGAGGGAGGGAGGGAGAGAGAAAGAGAGGGAGGGAGAGAGAGAGAGAGGGAGAGAGAAAGAGAGGGAGGGAGGGAGAGAGAAAGAGAGGGAGGGAGGGAAGAGAGAAGAGAGGGAGGGAGGGAGAAAGAAAGAGAGGGAGGGGAGGGAGAAAGAAAGAGAGGGAGGGAGGGAGAGAGGGAGGGAGGGAGAGAGGAAAGAGAGGGAGGGAGGGAGAGAGAAAGAGAGGGAGGGAGGGAGAGGGAAAGAGAGGGAGGGAGGGAGAAAGAAAGAGAGGGAGGGTGAGAGAGAGAGAGAGGAAGGAGGGAGAGAGAAAGAGAGGGAGGGAGGGAGAGAGAAAGAGAGGGAGGGAGGGAGGGAGAGAGAAAGAGAGGGAGGGAGGGAGAGAGAGAGAGAGGGAGGGAGGGAGAGAGAAATAGAGGGAGGGAGAAAGAGAGAAATAGAGGGAGGGAGAAAGAGAGAAAGAGAGAAAGAGAAAGAGAGGGAGAGGAGAGAGAGAGGGAAAGAGAGAGAGAAATAGAGGGAAAGAGAGGGAAAGAGAGGGAGAGGGGAGAGAGAGGGGAGAGGGGAGAGGGGAGAGGGGAGAGGGAGAGGGAGAGAGAGAGAGAGAGAGAGAGAGAGAGAGAGAGAGAGAGAGAGAGAGAGAGAGGGGGGGGAGAGAGAGGGAGAGAGAGGGAGAGAGAGAGAGAGAGAGAGAGAGAGAGAGAGAGAGAGAGAGAGAGAGAGAGAGAGAGAGAGAGAGAGAGAGAGGGGGGGAGTGAGAGAGAGAGAGAGAGAGAGAGAGGGAGAGAGAGAGAGAGGGAGAGAGAGAGAGAGAGAGGGAGAGAGAGAGAGAGAAAGAGAGGGAGAGAGAGGAGAGAGAGGAGAGAGAAGAGAGAAGAGAGAGAAAGGGCCACTTTACAGATATGGAGCTATGAGAATCACCCTAAACTAGGAATATTCTCCCCCTTATCCAGATGGTTCACTTCACAAATCTCAAGACCTTGAGAATTGCGGGCAGCAGCCTCTCAAGCATCCCTGTCCTCAGCCGTGTCCCTCAGCTCCAGAATCTTTACCTCAACGAGAACAAAATTACAAACATTTCCCCAATGGCCTTTGCAGATCTACCAGCTTTGGAAGTAAGTATTTTTTCCTCTTCACTATCTTAAGTCGTGTGGAATGAAGGCAGTTTAAACTCCTTTCTAAAATAAATATATTACAATATAACTATATTACTAATGATTTGCATAATGCATTAATATGTATTTTCCCACCTAGGTGCTCGACATTGGACTGAACCAACTAGAGACAATCAACGCACATACATTTTACTTATCTGCCAAGACTGTCCTGGT